TCTCTCTCTTCTCTCGCTCTCTCTCTCTCTCTCTCTCTATTCTCTCTCTCTCTCTCTCTCTCTCTCTCTCTCTCTCTCTCTCTCTTTCTCTCTCTCTCTCTCTCTCTCTCTCTCTCTCTATCTCCTCTCTCTCTCTTCTCTCTCTCTCTCTCTCTCTCTCTCTTCTCTCTCTCTCTTCTCTCTCTCTCTCTCTCTCTCTCTTCTCTCTCTCTCCTCTCTCTCTCTCTCTCTCTCGCTCTCTCTCTCTCCTTCTCTCTCTCTTCTCTCTCTCTCTCTCTCTCTCTCTCTTCTCTCTCTCCTCTCTCTCTCTCTCCTCTCTCTCTCTCTCTCTCTCTCTCTCTCTCTCTCTCTCTCTCTCTCTCTCTCTCTATATATATATGTATATATGTATATTGTTATATATATATACATATATATATATATATATGTATATATATGTATATATATATATATATATATATATATATATATATATACTGAATGCATAGGCCCAAAATGCGTCACCCGTGGACATTTGCCCTGAAATTCTGAACGTAGCGAGCGACTTCGCTGTTGGCGTCACGCCTTGCGGTGCATGCTTTAAAGTCCCGGGAAGTCGGCACTGTGCTCATTGGATAGCTGATATTCTCACACCCTACACCTTGAACCTGGTTATGTCCCTGAACAAGCTGGATGCATCGTCAGCTGAAGAAGAAGCCGGCCCATGACGACCATCCATGAATGACGTCACACATTTTGTACATATTCAGCCACCCTCCCGTGATTACGCGATGGTAACGTTGGACACGTTTCTCCCTCCGCTAGTTAGGCTGAAAACGTCTTTGCTGATGGAGTGTAATGTATTTAAACGATTGAAAAACACGATTAATTACATCATAAACATGAAAAACAGTGTTGAAATATTTCAGCATGATTTGCAAGCCCACCGCAGCCTGTCACGCCGCCGAAAACCTATCACCCCCTTCTTACGGTTCGAGTACATTCCATCCAAACCTCCCCTACCCCTCTTTCATATGCGACGCAACTCACGGAAGGCCGATCTGAACATTTGCGTGGTTGTGGTCTGGCCGTACATTCAGAAGTGATATACCTCGCTACGTTTGTCTCGCTTTAGCACGGTGGTTACGACTCATGCCATCAATCAGTGAATACCCAGGAGTCGATGCCCATCAATCAGTGAATACCCAGGAGTCGATGCCCATCAATCAGTGAATACCCAGGAGTCGATGCCATCAATCAGTGAATACCCAGGAGTCGATGCCCATCAATCAGTGAATACCCAGGAGTCGATGTCCATCAATCAGTGAATACCCAGGAGTCGATGCCCATCAATCAGTGAATACCCAGGAGTCGATGCCCATCAATCAGTGAATACCCAGGAGTCGATGTCCATCAATCAGTGAATACCCAGGAGTCGATGCCCATCAATCAGTGAATACCCAGGAGTCGATGCTTCAATTTCAGCAGCAGCTCTTCAGAAGCACCAAGGCCACATTCGGTATCTGAACGAAACTTTGGTGCCTCTGGTGAAATTTTGGTGCCTCTTTGGTGCCTCTTTGGTGCCTCTTTGGTGCCCTCTTTGGTACCCCTTTGGTGCCTCTTTGGTGCCCTCTTTGGTGCCTCTTTGGTACCCTCTTTGAGGTCATGGGCGCCGGCGACAGACCAAAAACGGCCGCCGCCTTGGATTGTGACGGCGGGATGTTCGGAGTGGGGTGGGTGAGTGTTCGAGCACGTAAGCGCAATCGGGTCTGAAAGTTTCTTTACAGACGGAGGAATAGATTGTTTTTGCATCGCGAGAGAGAAGTCTGAATTCCTTGAAAATGATCCAGCGAGATGGAGCTCAGATGACTCAGATGACTCAGATGACTTTTGAAGAGTCGGCCAAGGTTGCAGCGCATTTCTTTTTTGGAGAAGTGGTCCGGCGGGCTTGAGGAGGGCAACAGGGGTGGGGGGGGGCCCTCAAGGATGAGTACCATAGTTTCTATAAACTACTGACGGAAAGCAGCAACCGCATGAGACATTGTAAGCTATTTCTGAGCATCAGAAGCTGTTCCCCCCATGCTATCAACATTACAGATGGAGAGTTGAAAATAGAAATACATCTTTTTAGCGTTTGCAGTGCCTTGAGAAAATATCTGCTACAGTCTCAACTTTTTCACTTAACTGCATTTGAAAAGGCAAGCAAATGAAAGATGAAGCTGACGAAAGGTCACCAATCCCGTTATGCTCATTATAGATTTTTCACATGCCAGCGTTGACGCAAGTTCCCTTTTCATATGCCATATCATGGGCCGATGTTCATATCACATCATATGTTATGTCATATCACAATCATCTGACCACCGAGAACTATCACAGACACAGCCGCTGTGACCCTGTGAATATAACTACATTCAATGCAAGTGCACTGCGACGCTAAGCATGCACTATTCGTAGCGCATGACCCTTGTCGGAAAGATAGAGTCTGCATGTGAGTGTAGAATTAAGCTGTCCATTTCATCAAGCTCTATCTTGGCGTTTCACAGCCAAACCCGCAAAAGTCTTTGGCTATACCTCAGCACGTACTGTTGTGAAAGTGCTATGTCCACCGTCCAGGCCCGGAGTGCTTCAGAGCTTGGGTGTTAGTTTGAAGGGGGACAAGCCAGAAGACCTACCCCCAGGAGACCTACACTCACTGGACCTACGCCCAGACCGATGTGACGCGTTCCGCTCAGCAGTGAAGTACTGCGGCACAGTCTAACCCTTCGGATGCGTGTGGCGTAGGTTTCTGGGAGTGGCCGCTGATTTTGACGACAGTTGTATTGCTAATCAGGTGGCTGGTCATTGGCTACTGGGCTGGATTTGGTGCGGGTGGAGGAGCAGTTGTTTCCCGACATGCAGCAGCTGTTTCCCGACATGCAGCAGCTGTTTACCGACAGCAGCTGTTTCTGGGAGCAGCTGTTTCCCGACGTGCCTGAGCCTCACGCTGCAATCGCCCACACTGACACACAGCACTGACACTGTGACACTGACACAGCTCAGAAGTCTCTCATAGCACTATCCGTCCGTATCACTTTTACGGATTTTTGCACGCTGCACGTTGCAAAAGTTTCGTTGCGTCTGTTTATAGATGGCGCTTCAGGTCGTCCGAGCGTCAGTAGATGTCGCCCAAGAGACTGGGGTTCGTCCGACAAGAGGGCTAAGTTGTAGCCCACTCTGACAGCGCCCAGTGCCATAGACCGTTCACGAATAGTTCAGTACGGAAATGGACCCTAGCCTCTGATGCTTGATCTCCCCTCTCTATGCTCTGCGACCTGATCCCTGATCTCTGGCCGCTGACAACCGGCTGCTGATCTCTGGCCTCTGACGCATGACCTTTGCTCACTATGGTCTGCGAATACATCCGTCCCTCTTATTCTCTATCTTGCTTCATCCTGCATCCTCGCGACACCCCGCTTTTCCGGGCCAGACTGCGTGCGTCAGCCACGAGTTGGCCGCGAGCCCCGTGGGAAGGGGGACCTCGGCCGGGTACCCAGAGCTCGTACGCGTGTTAAAGCTCGGCGGTTGTCCCCCCCAGGCGCATGCAAGCCTGCCCAGCCGTTAACTATTTTCCTTCATCCAATAGTCCTGAAATGATCATTTCTGGTCGAAAGGGCTCTAATCCAAACAACCAAATCTGACCCCTGATCCTGAATGCGACCTGACCCCTGATCTGACAAGTGACTCCTGATCTCTCATCCATGATCTTTGTCACTGAACCCTAATGTCTGTTATGAACCCTCTGGCCCCCTGACCCCGATGCCGGACCCCCGATGCTCGACCCCGAACCCTGCCCCCTGAACCCAGGTCCGTCTCCTCTGCCGCAGGCAAAGCAGCTGCAGCCGTTCTGGGGCCCGATGCCGTCCTGCGGCGGCGGCGGCGCGCTGGGATACGTGGTGCCTCCCATGGCCTACAGCTTCTTCACCACCGCCGGCTGCCAGCAGGACGGCTCCCTGGCCAGCGGCAGCGTCTCCAACAGCATCAGTGAGTCGGGCGCGTCGGCGGTGGCGGTGGCGGTGACCCGAGAGCGTCGTTCCGCAGGTCACGCGTGCCGGGTGCTGTCAAGCTGGCAACACCGGCAGCGCGGGGGCGTGATGGAGACATGAGCTGACGCTGTGGCTTACCTTCCCATCAGACGTGCGTTGTTTCCCCATCATTCCACCAGACGTGCGTTGTTTCCCATAATCCCATCAGACGTGCGTTGTTTCCCCATCATCCCATCAGACGTGCGTTGTCTCCCCACCATCCCATCAGACGTGCGTTGTTTCCCATCATCCCATCAGACGTGCGTTGTTTCCCATAATCCCATCAGACGTGCGCTGTTTCCCATCATCCCATCAGACGTGCGTTGTTTCCCATCACCCCCATCTGACGTGCGTTGTTTCCCATCACCCCATCAGACGTGCGTTGTTTCCCCATCACCCCATCAGATGTGTGTTGTTTCCCATCACCCCATCAGACGTGCGTTGTTTCCTCATCATCCCATCAGACCCGAGCCTACGGACATGTGTGAAGTGACGGGTGCATCGAACCTGACCTGCGTCTGGTGAGATGACTTAATCGGCGTGGCTCACCACATCTGAGTCTGATCTGATCTGAGTCTCCAGATCTGATCTGATCTGGTTTTACACGAGCTGAGTCGGTGCCCTGCCGTGGGCAGCGAATCTGATCCCACCGGTGTTTTGTGACCTGGCATGGCCTGTTTCGTCGACCTGGCCGCGCAACTTGACCCTGGCCCGTATGGTGAGACGTGACCTGACCTGACCTGGCCCGTGTGACGTCAGGTGAGCTGGCCGAGCAGTTCGGCGATCTGTCCCTTGGTCTGGAGCGGAAGCCGAAGCTGCCACCAGAAACCTACCTCTGCCACCTCTGCTTCCAGAAGGGTCATTATATCAAGGACTGCCCAGAGGTAAAGACCCAGCAGGGTCACTGTACCAAAAAATCACCCAGGATGGGGAAGACATGCAGTCGGTAATTTTGCTGCTAAAATAGAGCGATGACTGGCACTTAACGATAAGCAATAAGAGGAAATAGAAAGTCCGTGCACAGCATCGATGAGAGCGCAGGGGCAGTTGTCGCGTCTTTTAGTTCAGGAAACCTGGATAACAGCTATTGAGAAAGCCATGCAGAGTTCACACACATTGTAACACTTCTTTTCCAGTCAACAACAGACTGCCGTCCGCCCAGAACGTTATGACGCAGCGGCGTATCATGCATGAATAAGCGCCCACTGCTTATCGTGAGCGCTCGTCCTAGAAACTCATGCAATCAAAAGCTTATGACAAAAGGTCTCCAAACTATATTATGCGTGTCGAACAGCGGATGCTATATATATATATATATATATATATATATATATATATATATATATATATATATATATATATATATGTGTGTGTGTGTGTGTGTGTGTGTGTGTGTGTGTGTGTTTGTGTGTTGATGGCGTGTCAACTACCTTGGTTATTTGCGCCGAAGAACACGAACATGAACTTGAACATGAAGAACATTCTTGGTGTGAGCCGTCACAAGATGGCATTGTCCTGTTTTTAGTCTCATGTCATTTAATGCAAACAGCAGACCGCATCAGACATACCCACCGCATATTGCGTCGGTGAGCCCAGGACACGGTCCCACACCACAGTTCTCACCGTTCTCAGATCACCGTTCTCACCGTTCTCAGATCACCGTTCTCATCGTTCTCAGATCACCGTTCCCACCGTTCTCAGATCACTGTTCTCACCGTTCTCAGATCACCGGTCCCACAGTTCTTAGATCACCGGTCTGATCGTTCTCAGATCACCGTTTTCACCGTTCTCAGATCACCGCTCTCACCGTTCTCAGATCACCGTTCTCACCGTTCTCAGATCACCGTTCTCAACGTTCTCAGATCCCCGTTTTCAGGTGGTTGTACTGACGCTGGCTGAGTGTCCGATTCAATTGTCAATTGAGAGGTTGTAAGAGTCGCCCTGCGTTTATGGTCTCCTTACTCTTCATTAATGGCAACACGTCTATACGCACGCTGTTGGGCTTCCATATGCTGCCGCATAAAAGATCGAAGTAGCTGCAGAATGCCCAGGTATTCTAACCAGGCTCAAGGGCGAATTTTCACACCAGATGCTTGCCGGAACAAGTTTATAAAATAGGTTCGGTGAGGAGTCTTTACGTGATTCTTTCACAGATCTAAACGTCAGGCTTATGACTCCATGGGAGAGAGTTAAGTTGCGAAAAGACAGTGATTCAGAAAACGCCGAGATATACTTGAAAATAGCTGGCAATGCATATGTGATTTGATTATCCACATCGTCTTCTTTAACCAGGCTTTATCTGAAGGCTCCCAACAGTATTAGAGCCAAGCTTTCATGCTTCGCAGCCATATTTTAGACGGTTCTCGGTTTTTACCGCATCACTTCCCATTATTTGCACACGACATCAGACAAACGACAAAATCTATCATTCGCACTCAAATAGAAACCAGCACCACGGCAGGGCACAACACTGGCGCCAGCATTTCAAGTTCAAGATGAGAGGCATGCCGGATGCGTTGGAAATCTCGCGTACGTATTACTCAGGGCTTTTAAAGCCTTAAGTATGTGTGGAAAAGTGTGCTATGAACATCTAATGCACTGTTAAAAGGGATTCGCACAACAAGGAAGGTGAATTTTGACCACTTAGAATATTTTTGGGCATGCTCTAATTATTTGTAAAAAAATTGATTTTGGTGAAAGCTTGCTTGTGTATGCTGCACTTGAACTGCAGCGTATTAAGTTTAAAATATGTTCTATCGAAAGCATGCACACAGTAGATGTATTTTCGGTACGACAATGCTTTTATCCTTTGAAGGCGAATGACAGAAGTTATTGTGCTGCGCACTCGGGACTCGTTAATAAAAAATGGCTTCTCGATCAAAGCTTTGCGCTCGTTTCGGAAAAAAAATTGTTGCGCCCAATACCGTCAATTAAACCTCAACCGCTGGAGAAGACCGCGCCGAAGCGTCGCGTTTGGGACCGTCTCGAGGAGCATTCCGCGTTTGCACGCCACGTGCATCATCCGTCCACTCTCAGCTCTGGACAACTCAAGCCAAGGGATAGCAGCTCGGACCCGGCGGCGCGCCCGCTCCGCTTACGGCGTCAACCCGGAGGGCTAATTGAGTCCATCATGGCGACCGCGCCGACTGATAAAACGAGCCGTCGGACCCAGTGTGGCCACCGCTGGCCAGGCCGGAGCTGCCGCCGCAACACCATTTCCGCCGGAAGCGATCCCATTCCGGGAATTGCATTTGGCAGATCCAACTGCCGGGAGGTCGCCAGATATTTCTCGGTCGGCGACACGGACTTGTCGAGTATGGATGTTGCACGTGCTGCCCACTTCTCAAAGCTGTTGCCCCGCAGCGCCGCTCCTCCTGGCGGTGCTCGTCCCCTAGCACTAACCGTCATCCTGCACTGCCCGTCCACCAGTACTGCCCGTCATCCTGCACTGCCCGTCATCCCGCACTGCCCGTCATCCTGCACTGACCGTCCACCAGTACTGCCCGTCATCCTGCACTGCCCGCCATCCTGCACTGCCCGTCCACCAGCACTGACCGTCATCCTGCACTGCCCTTCCACCAGTACTGCCCGTCCCCCAGTACTTTCCGTCTAGCAGTTCTGCCTGTCTCTCAGCACTGCCCGTCCCTCGCCACTGCCCGGGCACCAGTTCTGCCTGTCCATCAGTACTGCCTACGGCCTGTCCATTAGCGCTGCCTGTCCATCAGCACTGCCCATCGCTCAGCAATGGCCGTTCCTCAGCACTGCCAGGGTTCAACACAAAGCTGGGGTAGCAGCCTTCGTTAAGCAAGTTTTATCAGCACAAGGTAGAAATTGGCCACTGTGAAATGTTTAGGAACCCATACGCATGGTCGCAACAAATCAAACCTACTCAGGAGGCCAGTCAGATTTGGCCATGCCGAGAAAATCGTAACTGCCAGAACCATTCAATCGGACATGGCATGGTAATGCTGACGCTGGGCGCTCGAAAGAACTGGAAGCTGATTTGTTAAAAGCAGCGGCCACCCCCTGGCCACACGGGCTTCAGATATTTACCCCAATCGCTGTTACCGATGGCGCCATTGGGGATTAGACCCCGTGTGCAACGGTGAACGGATCGCAATGGACGTGCCCCAACCCACCAGCTGGCATGCACCGGGATCGACATGGAAGAGCGGTTGGTGGTGAAGCTGGTGTTAGTGATGTGTTTAAGTGTGACAATTTTTTAATTCTTTCCTTGGTCTACATCCTGGCCTAATCCTCTCGGCTGAAAAGTTGAGAGCCACTGGACTTGGGGACGGAGTTTGCCTCACCGGACTGGTAGAAATACATATATATATATATATATATATATATATATATATATATATATATATATATATATATATATATATATATATATATATGTATATGTAATCAACCTGTATAGATTATATACGTAACAAATATAAATAATAGACAGGAGTATAAAAAACGATAAATAATAATAGTATATCAATATATCCATATATATAAATATGTAGCAAATATCTTTCTCAGTCCACATTCCATTTGATGATTTGAGGGTTCCGGATAGTACTGGACCGAATCTACTAGTATCCATTACTTAGATCCATATTTCAACGCGTGAGTGATTGCAATTTCGATTGATTGAGCATTGGGTGACTGAGATGCGTGATTGACTAAGTAGTTAAAATATCATAAGCAACCGAACGCGGCTGCAAGCACGTCTTATTTAGGCATGCATCGATCCAACGAAACATCGCAAAATATTCGGCTTTATTCACGGGCCTTAACGGCTACGTAGCCTCATCAAGCGGCTACGTAGTCTCATCAAGCGGCTACGTAGCCTCATCAAGCGGCTACATAGCCTCATCAAGCGGCTACGTAGCCTCATTAAGCGGCTACGTAGTCTCATCAAGCGGCTACGTAGTCTCATCAAGCGGCTACGTAGTCTCATCAAGCGGCCACGTAGTCTCATCAAGGGCTACGTAGTCTCATCAAGCGGCTACGTAGCCTCATCAAGCGGCTACATAGCCTCATCAAGCGGCTACGTAGCCTCATTAAGCGGCTACGTAGTCTCATCAAGCGGCTACGTAGTCTCATCAAGCGGCTACGTAGTCTCATCAAGCGGCCACGTAGTCTCATCAAGGGCTACGTAGTCTCATCAAGCGACTACGTAGTCTCATCAAGCGGCTACGTAGTCTCATCAAGCGGCTACGCAGCCTTGATTGCCGCACTCCGCGAGTCGCGCTGAACCTGGCGCCAGGTTCAGGCAGATCACTCTGGCGGATCGTGGCGCAGCACCCACAGCTGGCGCGGTTCAGCCCAGCGTACCCAGCTGCCGTCCGCCTCTTCCGCCCGGCGTGCCCTGCTGTGCCGCCAGTGCGCGTGCACGCCATGCAGCTCACGCACTAAGGGGGGGATAGGGAGCAGCAATCCTCCGTCATCCTCGGAAAGCTTTAACAGTACGTCCAAATGCTGAGTGGAAGGGAACGACGTAAGCCGTCGTCCCGCTCTGGGAACGGAGCGCTGCTGGTGACCTGGTCCCCATCTCTCCGACAGGCCAGGCCACGAGGGGAAGGCATGACCCCCTACCAGGGCAAGAAGCGCTGCTTCGGCGAGTACAAGTGCAGCAAGTGCAAGCGCAAGTGGATGTCAGGAAATAGCTGGGCGAACATGGCGCAGATGTGCAAAAAGTGCCGCATCTTCGTTTACCCGCATAAGCAGGTCGGTGTTGAGACCAGCCGTTGGTAATTTGCTTGGTGTTATACATGTGTGTGTGTGTGTGTGTGTGTGTGTGTGTGGTGTGTGTGTGTGTGTGTGTGTGTGTGTGTGTGTGTGTGTGTGTGTGTGTGTGTGTGTGTGTGTAAAAATATGCAAAATATGAAAGACACATGCATGCATACATATATATATATATATATATATATATATATATATATATATATATATCTCTCTCTCTCTCTCTCTCCTCTACTCTCTCTCTCTTCTCTCTCTCTCTCTCTTCTTCCTCTCTCTCTCTCTCTCTCTCTCTCTCTCTCTCTCTCTACGCCTTATCAATTTTTGGTTGTTCTATCCGTTGGGTTGCTATTATTTCATTGTAATCGTCGGTTTTTTATAGCGTAAGGGAGTTGTCTTTCTGCTTATGCCTGATCTTTTGCGCACTCCTGGCATTGCACACTTTTCTCTTCTCGGAACGACAACTCAGGCAAGAATAACGTTCATGATGGAAATACAGTTGTCCGTCGATATAGATTGGCTTCGTATGTAGCGTTGACCTTCCTCCACAGCAGCTTGGCGCGAATATATGTGCCTTTTACCTCGAAACCACAGGGCTGCTTGCTTTGCACTTTGCACTTTGCACTTTGCACTTTATTTACGGCTCTGCTCGAGCGTGAAGCACCGCCTTTCACCCACTGAACAGAACAAACAGCGGGGTATAGGAAAGGAAATATTCGCCCAGCTCAACATTGTCATTGACATCATTGACGAGACATCAAACGTGACATTGGTGCGTTCTCTGCCACACCAAGTTCCCACAGAGGTCCTTTAAGTAGCGATTATCCAGATTCCATAGTTGACTCTTGCGCTGATGGTTATTCTAGAGGGGCGAAGTGGGGGGGGGGGGGGGGGGGCACCGCCATGCTACAAAGGTCCGCACAGCCAGCTGGCAACTGAAAGCCCGAGGAGGCTGCGTTTTTAGCGCTCCTGCTACGCTCAATGCAGAGGCTCCGGCTTTTCTTTGCAGTGTCGCGTCCGGATGGGCACGATCGAACGCTCATTGGTTGAATTTGACAGCGACGATTTGTTGGGTTCGGCCGCTCTCAGCGGAAGCAGGCGCTGTTTTTCCCTCGAGAACCCATTTCAGCTGAATGCCGCCGGGCAACGCGCATCAAAGACTGGGTCTGTGCTGTCGCTGGCAGGCGCCACCCTCCTGCCACTGGCGGCAGCGGCTGGAAAATGTGGTAGGTGGTGTGGCCTGAGGGTGGCCTACGTTGCAGAAGCGCCAAAGTATATTGCATTCCGACAAAACTGGCGATTTCCGATTGTCCGCGAAATCAAGGAACTTCTTCGGTGATTTTGCATGGACGCAGCGCAGCTTGAGGCTTGGCGATTTTTGCGCTGTAAAAGCGCAATGACGAAGATGTATTTCGTAGTCCATCAGATTGGCGTTGTTTTTCTCTGAAAAAAGATTTAACAGCAGCTTTCTGTTAATATAAGTCTTCAGTTAAGGATTTTATGATCCGGCCATTTACTATCCACAGTTGCGGCCCAGCAAAACACGTTGTGAAATTCCTAGTGTTCGGTCTTGCGGTTGACACTGGAATCTTAACTGAGGGCTGACACGATTTCCAAACAGTTGGGCAAGGTGCGGCACTATTGCACGGGCGGCAAATACCGTCCCCCGGCTGTTAAATTGGCAAACCACTTGCGACTCGAATGAAAGGATTTTCGCTCAAGGTAGCCATCCTTCATTTCCTTCAGGACATTCATAGATGTTATCGCATTCATGTAGTTCTTGACTTGCCATTTTTGGGGGTGCCGGTAGTGTAGTGGTCAGCGCGTCTGCATTAACCACTGCGCGTCTGGGAAACCAGAGGTACGGGGTTCGATTCCCCGCGGTGCCCGCCCTTCCTGCCAGGGTGAGAGGCAGGCGGCGCCATGTAGCCTCAGCAGCTGAGGGCGTCGTAAAGCCCCAATGACACACGGACTTGCCATTTTCCCGAAGCCGGACTCGCCCCGTATCGTCTAACCGGCTGCCCATTGTGACCCCCCCACCCCACCCCCCACCCATCGTCGGTACCTGAGTACGCCTCCGTCCGCCCGACGGGCTGTTGCTGCTTACTCACTCCGATTAAACCTGACGGGGCGTCGCTTTGGCTCGTAATATGGTTTGAGGCTGGGGCAAAAAAGGATAGAGCGAAGCTTTGTGAACAAATTCAAGTATGATGATGGAAGTGTACCATATTTGCATTAATGTGCTACGATTTGAGTTGGGATTTAAGATTTGAGTATGAGTTTTAGAGGCTTGAGTTCGAGTTCACCAGGCAGCTTGCAGCTGACGATCAAAACGGCGTGGCGCAAACGCATCGATCGTGAATCTATTTGGAGTCTAGGTGGGTGTTAAATCCTGTGTTTCTCCAGCAAATCGCCAATAAGATGGAGGGATGTGTTCGAGCGGGGGGGGGGGGGGAGAACGAACACAGAAAACCTCCTTGTAGCACCGCTCGTTTGTAAGCCTTTCAGGCTTGGTGTACCTGGCGCCACTTGTGTACCACCTGCACCGTATGACCGTCATCCCTGCGTTGCACCACCGCTTCCCGAGCCCGGGTGCGCCATTGTGACCTCTGCCTTCTGGCGCAGCGCCCCCTGGAGAAGCCGGACGGCCTGGACGTGTCGGACCAGTCCAAGGTGCACCCGCAGGAGCTGTGTGAGAAGTGCAAGACGCTCGGCTACTACTGCCGACGTCTGCAGTGAGAGGGTCCCGCTTAGACGTGCACCCAGCACCCCTGTTCAGCAAAGGATGCACCCCTCGCCGGCTAGTGAAGGGGTGAGCGCGACGTCCGCTGGCGCCCAGACCCCCTCGGTGCGCAAGATGGCTCTGGACTGTCTCCGGACTGAGTGAAGAGAGCAACCGCGTCGTTCAACAGCAGCACCGGGCTCCCAACCCGGAGGGACGACGCCAATGCGCCTCTCGTCGAATAGCTGTGGAAACGCATGGATGTGAAGACGTCGGCTCTGCATCGGCGTCATCTCAGAGCCGGTAATCAAAAGGCAGGCGAACAGCGGGACGAACTGTCAGCTTCAAAAGGCTGAGCGAACTGTCAGTTCAAAAGGCTGAGCAAACTGTCAGTTCAAAAGGCTGAGCAAACTGTCAGTTCAAAAGGCTGAGCGAACTGCCAGTTCAAAAGGCGGAGCGAACTGTCAGTTCAAAAGACTGAGCGAACTGCCAGTTCAAGGGGCTGAGCGAATTGCCAGTTCAAAAGGCGGAGCGAACTGTCAGTTCAAAAGGCTGAGCGAACTGCCAGTTCAAAAGCCTGAGCGAACTGTCAGTTCAAAAGGCGGAGCGAACTGTCAGTTCAAAAGGCTGAGCGAACGGTCAGCCCAAAAGGCCTAGCGAACTGCCAGTTCAAAAGGTTGTGCGAACTGCCAGTTCAAAAGGCTGCACGAACTGTCAGTTCAAAAGGCTGCGCGAACTGTCAGTTCAAAAGGCTGCGCGAGCTGTCAGTTCAAAAGGCGGAGCGAACTGTCAGTTCAAAAGGCGGAGCGAACTGTCAGTTCAAAAAGCGGAGCGAACTGCCAGTTCAAAAGGCGGAGCGAACTGTCAGTTCAAAAGGCTTCAGCCGAATGCATCACACCCCGCGCAGATCGTGCTGACTGTCAGATGTTTTAATTGCTTATGGAGATGAGAGCATTGCCTGCAACTCTGGCCCTGCCGCTCGTCTGCTCTCCGTCGACAGGTGACGACGGAGGGCCTCCTGCGAAGGCGGCAGGGTCGGAGGGTGAGGGCTCTCTCAGCGCGGACTCCACTTGCCTGACTGGGGTCAGTCAGGTGACGTGTGCGGTCGGCTGACGCGGAACGCTCAGCTGTGTCGTGCTGTAGAACTCGGCGCTGACATTTTACGGTCGGGAAAAGATACCTTAAGATTTATTGCGAATGTTCTAAGTTGTTGTAAAGCAGTTCGAAAATGTCTTGTGAGCATTCGGGTCATGTGTTCCCATCATCATTGCAATGTCACAGGTCACATGACATCATGACATGGCATGAACATGACATGGCAGCAATGTCAATATTCGGCACGTCACGTGGGATGAGCGCTCTTGTGAGACACGCCGGCAAAACTTCTCACTTCGGGAGGCTTCCAGGGAGCCCAAAAGGCTACCGGGCGCATGCGAACGTCATTACCGAATGACGCTGATGGGGTTTCGAAGTCACGCGGTCTGCTCCGGCAGATGGGCTTGTTACGAGGCGAGACTGAGGCTCCTGCGAACCGTTGTTCAGAGCTGCCTTTTAGGATCGATGGCCGGTGCTCAGAGCTCCACAAAGCTCTCAGAATGGCGAACCCTCAGAACGGCGATCGCGGTGACGCTGGCCACGTGCTTGTGGCTGCCGAAACCGTCGGAACGAAACCGCCGAAACCACACCCCGTCGGAAACAAGCAACGCTTCAGTTTTATCCCTGCTCCATCAAGCATAAGGGCCGCGATGTTAAAACGCGTGGAACCTCATGGTGCTCGGCAAGAGAGAACCGCTGACACGACTCGTGATATTCAATTGCTCCGTCGTGACCCGCGTGCGGTGTAGCTGGCCAACGAAGTGCCTGACATTTCTGCGTGTCGAACGTGCCAAATGCGGTAGGAAGAGCGAAAGCATCGTGATGCGTTTCGCCGAATGTGTGATAGTTGTCACCCGTGTCATCCGGGCCATTGTCTCCCGTGTCACTCGGGCATTTGTCACCAGTGTCACGCAGGTCATTGTCACCCTTGTCTGTGCCTTGCCTTTAGCTGCGTGACGACGTACTTTTAGGGCATGAGGTTTGCATGCGCCCACTGTTGTACTTCCTCGATATGGTTTCTTCGCACACGTTTGGCGAGTCTTGATCGTCTCCCACTGGGGCTTGGTTTCCGAGGACGATCAAGGTTGTGGGTTTGCAAACTGATGTCGTGGTGGAGCACTGGCTGCTAGTATTCTGGTCTTTCCAGGTCAGTCTTTCACGGTTCAAAATGTGTTTGCAGGGGTTTCCACACTTCTTGTAGTCGTTTTTTGTTCATCCGAGTGTGGGCAAGCTTAATCCAGATCCTAAATCCAGCATGGTATCGCTAAGCAGCCATGATGTAGGTTGCAGGACGTGCACGAGCTCATTCGTGTTTTGGGCGTGTGGGTCACCACGATTTGGCAAAAAGTTCCTGAAATTATGCTTACTTCTTCTATCTGCTCAAAGTATAAGCCTCCACGTCACTACCACTGCCCAGGTATATCGCTGACGTCACGCCTTCCGGTCCCACCGTCAATGACCACCGCTGACGTCATTCCCACCGTGAATGACGATTGGTTCGCTGGCCAGCGTGTTCCTACACCCTTCCCTACGGTTGTCGGCGTCCACCACTCTGGTATAGGACGTAGCCAGCGGTGTGCTGGAGCAGAGGCGTACCCAGCGGTGGGGCAGGCGGAGCACGTTCCTCGACACGCCGCACGCCGGTTGGCGGGAGGAGGGCGGACCCTGGGACTGATGCCAGCCCCCCTCCGTGACGACGGGAGCGTGCCCTTGCCGCAGAGTGCTTCCGGGTCAGCCGCCCCTCTGCGAGCACTGGAGAGACGACACTTTCCAAAGCGACGATAACACCTGTTTGATCTGTATATAAAAGTGTCACGACAATGGCGCTATATGTAAATATCAGGTCCTTCATATCCGACTAACTCTGCTGGCGCTGCCCGTGGCCGCCGCCGTGTGTTGCTCGCTGCTTGTTATTGTTCAGTTTGTTCTCGTTGCCCCCGATCGGGGCCGTGTGATGTTTTGATGTGACAAGAAAGGCAATACACACCGCCCGCTCTCCGGCAGGCAGCTGGTGAGTTGGTGATTTGGCGAGCAGCTGGTGAGTTGGTGAGTTGGCGAGCAGCTGGTGAGCTGGTGAGTTAGTGAGCAGCTGGTGAGTTGGTGAGTTGGTGAGCAGCTGGTGAGTTGGTGAGTTGGTGAGCAGGTGGTGAGTTGGTGAGTTGGTGAGCAGCTGGTAAGTTAGTTGCGGGCCTGCCAGCCACGCTGAATGTTCTTCGCGTTCGGCATGCACCAGATATTTGATTTTTTCGGTGAGTTGCCGCCGCGTATCACCTGCTCGAAGAAGCTCTCAACGCAGATGTTGCTAGGCCCGCGGTGCGCGAGACATTGAGCCGTGACATTGCGGTACAGAGAGCGAGCGAGCTTTAATCGAGCGAGAGAGAGAGAGAGAGAGAGAGAGAGAGAGAGAGAGAGAGAGAGAGAGAGAGAGAGAGAGAGAGCGAGCTTCAATCAGCTGCGTGACCAGTGTCAGAGCAGCTCTAACGTCGGTTCACTTCGCGGGCTTTGACTTGGTAGGGGATGTCCGCATGGCGAAATCAGGCATGTGATGTGCAAATGATCAGCCATCTCATAAGCCGCGACGTCCGTTATCATGTTTGACGTGCAACATACGTGTCGTCTTGTTTCGTCATTTGCGCCTTTGTCCGGTCGTTGTTGCGTCCAGATGATATTTATTGCACAACAAAAGGAAAAGCCCCTTGTAATATAGCAAAAGGAACTCCTTTTCATTTATCTCCTTTTCTCCTTTAAAAAAGAATTCCTAAAAAATCTCCTTTACCCCTTCATCGTGTTCAGAAATGAAGTCAACTCTAAAAGTGAGCAGGGAATGCCATTCCACGTGGACCGTAGGCGAGGGATCCGACTCTACGTGCTTAAGTTTTACGCAAGATCATTATGCTTGTCATTTCATCGTTGGAGCAGTTCTACCTCACCTCATGTAATGTCGCGTAAAAAGGACGCATTACGGGCCATTTTCAATGAGATTGTCAGCAAGGATGAGTCCCTCGCATACAGCCGAGACGCGGCGACGCGAAGCGCGCGGCTGCCGAACAGGCCGCCAGGCGCGCATCCAGCTTGTTCTTTTTTTAGAGAGAGAGCTGGAGCTGACAGAAGGTAACGACATCCGAGAGCTCATAAAAAGCCGACACTGAGCTGGGAGCAATTTCGCACTCGACTCCGACGTTGACTACTGGTTGCCGTGGCAACAAGCGGCGCTGTATTGCCTGCACCTCGGGACCCGATCGTGTTCTTCGGTACTTCGGTAATAGGCAAAGCACATCATAAAAAGAGAGAGGCATTGCGTATCGCTGTCCTCAGAGTCATGCGACGTTATTGTTTTATGAGTGCCTTATTGTACGGCGCCCCGCGTGACCCGCCACGCACCGAGCAATATGGGTCTGTCGGGAGGAACAGGATACACCGGTCCCGCTGCTTTTCCCACACTGGGGGTATATTTCAAAAACATACGCTCATGAAACCTCAGGACTAGTTACGTCTTGTGATAATGGCACTGGGTAGTGCCGCTGCGGCACCGTAAAGACATCATAAGGATATAATTATGCTGTCAGTGCTCTGTAACGGCAGTACACAGTGCGACTACACTACTTCCCTGCAGTCGCCACCGCCGTCGTCACGACAAACACCACGTTCGCGTCTACTGGTGCGAATAAAAGGACGTTTGTGATTGGCCCGGCGGGCAAGGACCCGCTACAGAGAAATTGGTAGGGTAAAGTTTCAACCGGTGCGTCACATGGATCGTGTGGTGCCTTCATTCCCAAATCCAAAGTGCGGCTCGAAAAGAGCCCCTGTAATTAAATGTCATATGGGAGAAATAAAGACCATCGTATAGCATTTCGTTTAAACTTGCGTGATGATAGCACAATGTTCGCATATCTTTTGCTTAAACAGACTGTTTCAATCTTTCGTAGCATTTATTACGCAGCCATTTTACACATAAGTGTACTGTAAGCATAACAGAATGCAATGTTGGAAGAAGCGAGGCAAATAAAACGCATTAGCCTCATTGGTGGAGAGCAGGAAGTCAGAAGAGAACTCGTCTGAACGGTCGGCTACTTCGAATAAAAATTTGTAGGCTTTCAGAACGATTTTGAGACAACTTGCAGTAAACATCAAATCGTACGCGCCTGGATGTAAAAACCAGGGAAAAGTACAAGCTTAATCCTGTGTTTGGCAGGGTGATGGCCTGGCATTTTTCTTGTGACTTTGGCTTAGCACGCGCTCGGGTAGGGATTAAATTACCCCCCCCCCCCGAAGGTTTTTCTGAATGATTTCCAAACGACACGGTGTAGCCGCGCTAAATTTCGCAAAGCTGTAGACAATTGACTACCGAATCGTCTGGCATCAAATTTTAGATGCATCTTGCAAGGTCAATGACCTATGGCAGGTCAAAATTAGGTCATAGTTTCTGCGAAGGCAATTTCTAGGAATCTTTCAATCTGATCCAACAGCGGAGTGTTGGACGAATCCATACATCTCTGGGATGCTTTTTTAAGCAACATAACAATTCAATAAGCAAACTACATTGACCTAGGGTCAGGTATAAAGGCCAGACCAAGGTCAAAACCAACCTGTGTTATCACTCTAGTGCTAGCTGTATGGGGTATTTCTGGTCCTGATTTCGAATGAATCGATGACGGGAACCGCATTATACGCCTTACATGGACTTCTTAAAGGTCAGAATAGGTCACTGGCCTGGAGCGACCCAGGTCAAAATTTTGTTTTTAGGAACATACTGCCTAGCATAATTTTTGTCGGTTATTCAAATGCAAAATTCAAATCAGCCTTGTCTTATTTTTGTCACCATGACCTTTAAAGAATCAAACGAGGTCGCCGACCTTAAATGAGCATGTTTGCTTTTGCTTAAAATAGCTAACTAGGTTCTAAGGGCCCTTGGAGACCAACCTGGAATTTGACATTGTTTGATCCTTATTTGACCCGAAGGTCATAACCTAGGAACCTCAAGCGTCTACCTTAGTGAGTTTACGTTTCGTTTAACTCACCCTGTGAATTTGGTGTCTCTAGCTCTCTCAGTTCTTGAGATCTCAGGGAGATCAAATTCCCCCACATTCCGAGCAAAAGGGCATCCAACCGGTCACCCGGGCACAAGTTAAGCTACAGCGCTCACGTGCTGGCCAGACTCCGTGAGGTGAGTGAACACTTCTGCCACCACCGCAGCCCGCGTCCTGAGGCTGCGTGCTGACCGCGTCGTCTGCATACCCTAAACGCGCTGGGCCACCACGCCACTGTCCCCGCGTCCATTCTGTGGGTTGTGTACGTCCGTGACCGACATACCCCCGGGGACGGACAGTGGGGGGCCGACGTGGTCGTGCTGGTGCGCGCCGGGCTGCTGAGGGCGAGCCAAGGTCACTGGCTGAGAGAGGACATTATCGGCGTAGCGGGACGCTGCGTGACACGGGAGCGGACGTGTCGGCCCCGCGGGGGGGGGGGGGGAGGCACCGGCTGACCTGGTGCTAGACCTGACCTGAACTGGACGGAATGGTATGAACTGGTATGAACTGGTATGGACTGGTGTGGTAGTGGGCTCCTTGTGCCGCATCGCACTCTGACCCACGTTGCTGAGTCTCTCCGCCGGTCTGGGTCGCGCCCTGACCCCCGGGCTTGTTCCCCCCCCCCCGCCGGTCCGGGCCGCACCCCGACCATCGGGGCAACGGTGAGATCCAACCGCGCGGATCCTTCCGCCGCGGTCGATATCACCGCCAAAGGAGAGTAAATGCGCGCCATTACCATAGCCTGCCGCGCCCAACACGCCGCGCCGCGCCAAAAAGAGCCGCCTCTGCCCTAATCACATTATCAATAGCCGTTGCCAGGGCCGCCGCCGCGCTCCCGGCGGCGGACGGTGGCGACACGGCAACGTCGGCGTCGGCGTCGGCGGCGGCGGCGGCGGCGGCGACCCGTGTCGACCGTCGGCGCCGTCGGGCAAACCGGCGTCAAGTCCATCGGCTGGTGTTCTCCGGACGTGGGGCTCTCTGGGGGATTCCAGGCGTGGCCTGGGGGGGGGGGGATTATATGCATGGGACTGTCTGGGACCGCTAGGGTGCCCCTGCGGATATCATGACAATCAACGCAGGCTGGCTCATGCTACACGGCGCGGTGTTAACTCTGACTTCAAATGCGAATGAAATACAAGAAGTCACAAAGATCACCATATTTTGTCATGGTTTGCTTCTCTTCATGTGAGTAAAAGTTTTCAAATTTATCGTTGAAGTGATAAAATATGAGTTCAAGCTTAAACTCACCCGAAGAGAGGTGTGCCGAAATATAGTGACTTTGGCAACTTAGTTATATTTCATTCGAATTTCAGAAGAAAGTCAACAGCGAAATGTGCACCATTAATCCAGATGCCCAGCCCCAGGGAGAGCCTGATATGGACGTACAGGCTGCTTTATCCAGAACTCAAACCCATTGCCTCCCGTCGCTTTCCAAGTCATCAACAAAGCACAAAATTCACTCGGCTGTTATAGCATGACATTCAAGTTGGGTGCTGTAAAAAAACTCAAGATGAGAAATGGACACATTTCATCGCAGTGCAGTATGATGTGAGTATCGTCATTCACCTCAAATACCAGTTCACCCGCTCGCCAACAGTGCAGCACTCGTGTGTAGCGTCCAGGACATTCCCCAACGCCGTCGATAATCTCCTGCGCAACACAGATCTCCAAGCCAATCTCCCAGCTGAGCGCACGGAATGCTCCGTTGTTTGGATCCTTAGCAATCCCATTCTTTCTTTCGGCGTGATCCAGATGCGCCCCGCGTTGCGCCAGTCCCGGAAAACTGCGTGTCAGACGTCTGAAAGGCCCTTGTTCACGGCGCTTCTTCACGGTAGGCCACACATCAC